TTTATATGCCTTTGATTTGAGAAAAATATAGTTATATTTTTTGGGCTCTATTTGTTTGCAATGCATTTCCATTTGCATTAGTACAAACTAGTGCAAGGGCATGTTTTATGCGCGTGTGTAATTAAAGGGTAAGAATATAAACTAACATCATTTAATCAAATTTAACTTTTTGGACCTGCACTAAAATTTAGGCAATTATTCGCTTTATATAGTAATAGATGCATGAAAATATAAACGCAATAAATAAATCCCAATTGACTTTTGCTTCAAATGTTGCTTTTCTTTGCTCTGAATTTTATTTATGCAGCAAAAAAAATCCACAAAACAAACTAGACTTTTGCATTCAACTTTTACACTAGTGCAAATAAAATTGCATTGCAAGCAAAGCATGCCTTCAAGTTTAAGCTCGACCTCTTAGGTGAAGTTGCAAAAGAATGATGCATGTCTATGTTATGAGTTTTAGAATAAGGGTGATCTTGGTCCGGTTTATGCCGAGCTAGGGACTCATAAGGGGTTTCATGAAATCCCAAGCCCAGCCCAGCCTTTACCTTGGGACTTAAATGTAGGCCATTCAAAGAATGATCATCCTTATTTCAACAACAATATGAGCTAGGTAATCAAAATCATTTTATTTTAGGCCCTAGGCAATAGCAGATGTTCCATGCTAAGCAATCTTAATCTTAGACATACATTCAGCATAGATAGCCATAAATCTATGAAACATGTTGGGCTTGGAATAGCCTACATGCTACAGTTATGGGCCATGCTATTTCTAGGCATGGGCCACAACCCTCGGCCATGCTGGGTTAAGGGATTGAGTCCCACATTATACCCCACTTTTGACACCAAAGCCCCAATGTATTGACATCATTTCCCCTAGTATTACTATTCCCAACCATGTGGTGAAGTAAAATTTGTAAGGTGGGGTAAATGAATGAAGATTTTCCTATATATTAATAATATATAAATATATAAATTTTATTTTTCCATTGTAAAAAAATGAAAATAGTGTCAAGCCGTCGTGACCCACACTACACCTATAACTTAGGCATGGAAGGTTTCCAAAGTAGCTACTCTTAAGGAACCTTTGTTCAAATATGGATGGACGATGAGTTTAAATTAATTGCACCATATTACTCTAAAAGCAAAGTGGGAGATTGGAATTTGAAATCTTCCTGGTCTTCATTCTTGTATTTTGTTCTCATCATTAATATATTTAACTAGTGGGGTTCAACTAAGATGATAAAAAATATGATACCAAAGAATATGAATTTCCTCCTCACAACACTTGCGACCATCCAATTATGGGAGATGTTTTCAATGTGTAGTTGCAATGTGCTATAAGGTGGGTGTGGAGAGGAAATCCATGAGCATTATAAAAAGTGGTAACTAACTAGGTGGCTATTAATCAAATTTCATGAAGGGAGTTTGAATGAGACAAAATCTCCTTAAAAAAGCCAAAAAATAAAGTCATGTGTACATCCTTAGAATGTAACATCCAACCATACATAGAGAATATCTACTCATGACCTTAACATAAAAGTAGGAGAGATATTCTCAATGTGAGGCTAGATGCCATACTCTCAATTAGATCTATTGCTCATGGGCCGGGTAGCCCAACGGCCAAAGCCCGAGCCTATCTATTTTATATAATATAAAATATATAATATTTATTATAATTTCTAAATTCATAAAACTGAAAACCCTACCCAACTTTCTCTTTCCCTCTCTTCATTGTATCTCTTTTCTTAGTTATCACTTCTCACATAACCCAAGCTAGCAACGAGCAATGAACCAGCGATCTCCAATGAGTCGTCATTGAATGTAGGCTAGCAGCGGCAAGCGACAATCCTTTTTTTTTTTTGCATTACCTTCTCCGATGAACTTAGGTAGCAGCGAGCCAGCGATCATGTCCTCTCATTGTTTTCATCAATACCTGACGATTCAGCAACGAATGTAAGCTAGTAGAAGCAGCCACCGAACTCAAGTAGCAGCTACCATGTTCTCTCTCTCTCTTCATTTCTCTCTTTTTGTACCGATGAACTCAAGAAGTCAATGAATTCGGGCTCGGGCCTAAAAAAATTCTGTTAATTAAGAGCGAAAGCCCGATCCGACACATGAAATTTCAATGTATGTATAAGGATAATATAACCCAAGTCCTATGAGCTTGATGAATATGTATTTATCATATGACAAAGTCCTTATTCGCAAGCTAACCAGCAACTTGGTTTCCTCTTTATGTTGTATTGGTACTTTATGTTGATGTTGGTCTCCTCTTTGATCTTCTTGCATTCCCTCTTTGTGACATCACACCTCTATGCAACCTTACAAATCGCTTAAAGAGTTTCAATCGTGATTCTCGAGTGGTAACTCGTGAACCTTAAACTTTTTGCTAACTCGTGAACTTCTAAATTCACGATCATTACCACCACCATTATTGATGTTTTACCTATTAGCCCAACTATAATTTGTATAAGTCCACCTTTGTGATTCTCATCGATACACCTAAAAGCACATTCATCATTTTCTTTTTCTGGGCACCAACATTTATCTTGATTGAGGAAACCAACTGAGGGTGTCATTTGACTCAAATATAGTTGCTTCTATATGAGGTCTAGAACGCTGCCAAATTGCATCAGTGCATCCACAATAACAATGTTGCCCTTATGGTGGAAGGCATGACCCGGTTATTTAAAAGACGATCATGGACGTGAAAAATCCTTAGTTCTGTAGGATTCTCCATTATTGGCCATAACAAACCATTACCAGTACATCCGGAAAATGTATTTTGACCCTATGGCAGAAGGAACAACAATATTGCCCTAAGGACGATACAAGATGTTAAACATTCAATGTACCATAAAGATTCTATATTATTCTTTACTACGGGGCATATGAGCACCAAAATGCCGCTAAGTTATACCAATGCATCTACAAAGATTGTATCAACCTTCGATAACAAGGCGTGACCCAATTGTTCTTATGACAATATCAAATCGTGAGTGATGAGGGGTAATTTGGTCATTCGAATCACTTCGTGACAGGTGGCCTTCAAGTGATACCTTGGCGCTGACTAGACAAACCAATTCGGCAAGTTAGCCTCAAGCACCTCGCTCAGGCCGACCTCCACCTCGGTCGGGCCGAATTGATAGGTTTCCTAACTTGTAGTGACCTGCCTCAGAGACCGGCCAAGTTGTAGGAATCTATGGCGACATGCGAACGAGTTCGCTGACTTGTCTTGAAGAGATGTTACCAGCCTGAGATCTCCAGAACATTAATGCTTTGACCGTTGGACCGGCCTATCGCACTGCACACCCCAGAGTTACCTGGAAAGATCGTAACCCCCGCGTAGAACACGTAACCGATGCAATAGATTACCGGACCAAGCGGAAACGGCTCCGCGAGAAGATGAGACCCATTGTAAGGGGACCTAAATCACTGATGCTTATATAAGGCACTCATTTCTATTTGTGAAGGTATGTGCGATTACAAGCTCTCAAGCTCTTTCATTCCCTAAAAACTCTTAAAACACTCTCTGACTTAAGCATCGGAGTGCCCACTCAGAGTAAAGACAACCCGGGCACTCTAACTCTTCCTCTTGTAGAACAAAACCAGCTTGGCCATCTCTAGCTCGGCCTAGCCCAATTTGACACGCAAGAGAAGCCAAATCGCGAGACATCAGTGAGTATTCATGGTTTTGCAAGATTTTTTGTTATTCACCATTATGTATCTTAAGAGGCTTGTAACACTGCCAAATTGTACCAATGTGCCCTTGAATGATAGCATTGACCATATCTAGTAAGGAAGCACCCATTTGTTTGAAAGACAATAAATAACGATAATTAGTTTCGTAGGATTCTTCATTGTTGGCCATAGCGGGACATTAGATGCATAGAACGCTATAAAATTGCACCAATGCATCCATAATGACTGTTTTGATCTTATGGCATAAGGCGTAATAACGTTGCCCAATGATAACATCGAACGATGAATATTTGAGGTATCTTATGATTCTCTATTATTCATTATATGAACACCAAAATGCGCCAAATTGTACCAATTGATAAAAACCCCTTTTGAATATATATTTGTTTGACTACAATTATAGGACCCCTCCCCATTCTAGATTGTAGACAACATTGATGCTTTCAGGAGATCAAGCTCGTTTTTTATTGGTCAAAGTCTTTCTCGTATCATTTCTTATCTGCATAAGAAATGATTTTTCCTTAATTTGTGGTAGTTTCAGGTAGGGGTATCGAACTGAACCAGTAGTACTATTTTTTAGAAAATTGGTAATTGAAATTGAATCAAAGCCGATCAATTAACTAGTTGATTAGTTTGGTTACTACCGGTTTAATTTGTCAAAATATACAATAAAAACTAGAAATGCATATAAAATATTATATTATAAATAAATAAATAAATAATATATTATAAAAAATATATTAATATTTATATAATGTATATATATTTATTTATATAATATACAAATAATATAAACATGTATGAAAAATAGATATAATATACATAAATATATCTATATAGGTAAGTTCGATTAACCGTTTGTTTTTTATATTGGTTAATCAAAACCGAATTGATACCTTCGATTTTTTAAAATACTAAACTTAAAATGAACCGATTAATATACATAAATGAAAATATTATTTCCTTTTTTTATTTTTTACTTTATTTTTTTCTTTTCTTTTGGCTTGGTAAGAAGGCACAAATGAAGTTTTGATGGTTAAAGCGAAACACCCCATACTACAGGGGTGTATACGACGTTTACCATTTTTATGCTAAGGCGTGTGTTCTGACCGTTTGATTGGCATCTGAAATTTTCGTGACCTTCATGGTTTTAAATGGATTCTAGCTCGACGGTTGATAGCTCGTTCAGTGCAGCACGTGCAGTTTAAAACATTTTCCCATTTCTCGCACGACACCTGGATTGAAGAAGATTGCGTCAGGAGTGAGACCCCAACGGCCACATATAAATATTTCAACTAAAAAAAACCCGGAGACCATCTCGTTTCAGCTGTGCCTCCCGTAGAAAACCCTACTGCTCTTTGATTCGCTGTTACTGCAACCCCTGTAAGGTTTCTGGTGACGGATCCGTTCCCTTCCAAGGTATGTGGTTTCAACTTTTTATTTCATTGCATTCATTTTGATTTTTCATCGTTCTTCTAAATTTAGGGTTTTTTCAACTTCAGTGTTCTATTGTATTTGTTCTCATTGTTTTCTCTTTCCCGGTTCTCGTTGTAACTAATTTGCTCATCTTCTGTTTTCAGAAACCCTACTTTCCGTACCTTTTATTTTGGGTTTTGTCTTCGTTTCACTTCCTTTAATCGGTTGTTCTTTTTTTTTTTTTTGTTCGTATTTTTGCCTACTATAAATATGTTTATCTTAGCCTAATCAAATGCATTGGTAAAACACACGACACTTATTCTCTGAGTGGTAATTGTGATGATTTTTGAGCCCGAAGGGGTATTACCTCAACCTGGTTTTACCATTATGCTTATCAAGTCTAGGTTTTCTTCATTGTTATTTTGAATCAGAGAGACGTATTATCCAGAAGCTATATGTTTAATGTTGCTTCTAATAAGTTTGGCTTGTATTGGTTGCAGGGACTGGTGCTACAGATTTACAATATATTTTACAAGCATGTCTTTGCAGTTGACGCCTTCCAAAAGACCATTGGATCGCAACCCTTTGGAGCCTAACGGAAAGGGAAAATGGCAGAAGTCCACGGGTTTTCAACCGCAGCACCAATTACTGAAAATACCCCCTGGTACTACTGTTTTTCGTGTGCTATGTCCTGCTTCCAAGACTGGTGGTGTGATCGGCAAAGGTGGTACTGTCGTATCGCAAATACGCCAGGAAACTGGAGCAAAGGTTAGAATTGAGGAAATTGTTCCTGGGTGTGATGAAAGAGTGATTGTTATTTCAGAACCCGATAAAGAAACAGAAGCTGGTAATGAGCAGAGCAAAGTAGATGGTGGTGAAGAGAACAATGAGGCTGACGAGAGTGATGATACAAAGGAACAAGATGATAACAATGAAGATAAAGAATCTGCTCCAGGGGAAGACTTACAATCTGATAAAACAAAATCTGCTATGCAAAAGGCCCTCTTTCTCGTTTTTGAAAGGATGTTTGAAGGAGAACCTGGGACTGATGGAGGTGATGAGGAAAGTAAGAAGTCTTCGTCAGTTGTTGTTAGGTTACTTGTGCTCTCTAGCCAAGTTGGGTGTCTACTGGGAAAAGGTGGAAGTGTCGTCAAGCAAATGTCAGCAGAAAGTGGGGCACAAATCCGGATTCTTCCTAGAGACAAACTTCCTTCATGTGCAACCCCCTTTGATGAATTGGTCCAGGTAACAGGCAACTCATTTAGTTATATCCGTCTTCATCTTCTTTCTTCTGCTCTTTGGTTTCGTAGAATGTTACTGATATCACAGGTTTTATCTTTGCCCATATAATCACAATTATATGAACATAAACTGTTTTTATTTTTTATTCTTTTGGTGCTAATATGGGGAGGGTTATATGGTGTCATGTCTTGTCCTTTTTGTGGTTTAAGGGTTCTGTGACGAACAAGCTCTTGACTTAAGGAACACCTTTATCCTATTTACTACAGCATATGTTGTTCCTATACCTTTGAAATTTGTGGCATTCATGTATTTTTCAATTCTTCTCCTACCTTTTCAATTGAGGATTATATTGGAGAAGCAGATATTGGTTTTGCTTGTTGACTTGTTCTTCAGGATCATATTCTCCATGTGATTGCTGTTTGTTAATCCATGGTAGTCCTTATTCTTGCCCATGGTAATTAATAGGCCTATCTTATTTATTTCTTGGTATACTCTTATGGCGTTCTTCTTCATAACACATAAAATTTGGCTGACCAACATAGCACATTGCAGCTCACAGGGGGACTGGATGCAGTTAAGAAGGCTCTTCAATCTGTTTCTAAACAGCTCTTGGAAAATCCTCCTCGTGATCGTGACTCTTTTCCTGCAGGCAAATCTATTGGGCCCTCATCTCATCCATTTGGTCCTTCTATTCCAAAGCCAGAAGCATATTCACTGCCTAAGTTCGTTTTTCCTTCTCAGGGAGCATCTTTTGCTACTGGCCCTCATGACGCTCCCGATTACCGTTCAGCTTTTCCCCCTCCAATTCCTAAATTCCATGATAATGTTATTTCAAGTGGAATGAAAGCTTCCCAGGAAATGCTAACCTTCAGGTTATTGTGTCACAACGAGGTGGTAGGAGGTGTAATAGGGAAGGCGGGATCCATTGTGAAGACAATTCATAAGGAAACAGGCTGTGATATCAGGGTTCTTGATGGTGTTCCCGATACGGAGGATCGGGTCATTGTTATAACTGGTTCAGCGGTAATGCTTACAGTCTTTGTAGATGTCTTATGATTTTTTTATGTCATTTTCATTCTCATTTTTTCTTAAATGTTGGCTGCATTGGAAAGGTGTGAGAATTCTGACAGAACAGGTTGACTAATGCAGAGCCCTGATGAGAGAATTTCTCCTGTGCAAGATGCAGTCCTTCGTGTACAGACCAGGATTGTCAGAGCTATACCTGTACCTGATGGCAAGGAGAAACCTGTGATAGCCAGACTTCTTGTCTCATCCAGTCAGATTGGTTGCCTTCTTGGAATGGGTGGCTCCATCATAGCTGAAATGAGGAAGTTATCTGGGGCTCAGATTCGTATATTGGGGAAGGATCAGATACCAAAATGTGCTGGAGAAAATGAAGAAGTGGTTCAGGTGTGTTCCCTGTGCATCTGTGCACTATTGTGCTGGCATCTTTGTATATGTCAAGATTGAAAATCTTGGGCACAGAAAGTTGTCTTTCTTTCAGATTTCATTTTATGTTAGAGGATGTTTCTGTTAAACAAGACAACAATTTATCTACATCTTAAAAGGCTTATTTCAGTTGGCGAGTCATGCTACCTATGGTGTCTAAGAAGCCATGTTACAATAAGACCTTTGGTAGATATGGTTGTTCTGTTTATGACTACATGTCTTCGCCTTTTCTATCTCTGATCATGAAATCCTTCACAGATTACAGGAGATTTCGAGGCTGTTCAAGAAGCACTTTTGCAGATAACTAGTAGGTTGCAGCATCATCATTTTCGTGATGCATTTTCTTCAATTAACCATCCTGCGCATCCTGTATTTTCGGATCAAGTACCTCCATTTCCTCCATACACGGGGAGGAGGGAACCTTCGCCCACTAGAATGTTGCCAAATTTGGGGCCATCATTTGCTAAGTTTGATTCTGTTGGTGGCTTGCCTCCTCATCTTCTTCATCAGCATGATGATCGTTCTAGCTTTGTTCACAGTGTTCACAGACCAGGCATCTCCCCACATGGTTCTGAAAGAATGACATCTTCAGTGCCATGGGGTCCTCAGGTACCATTTATTTTCTTGGTAGTAATAATCCCAGTTTATGCTATAAAAGAAGTTCTGTATGTTCTTGAACAAAAGTTTTTCTGTTTCTTTGCCATCTACTACTGGTCTAATTGTAGATATTGCTTACACAATTCACTTTATTTAAAATATTCCTTTTATAAAATAGAATAATCTACTTTCTCTTGATTGGTTATACTTGGCTTCTAGCATTGACATCAAATGATCAAAAGCATCAGTATGTTGACAGATTAGACTCTTCATCAACTGTAAACCTGTAAAAGTGACTGGTTCCCAAATCCCAGGTCACTGGTTAGATCATGGTCTAACCGTGGTTTAATGTTAACCTCATTAATATAATAAACATAAAAAAACAGTAAAAGTGCCTATATATTTGGTTGGAGAAACTATTTAGGGGAGGGGAATTTAGTTGGATTCTGGGAGAGAGAATAACAGCTAAGAGGAAGTTTGGGTGGGGGAGGGAAATAAGGGAATTGGTTAGGGTAGATAGAGGATTTGGAGGGAGATAGTGGAGGTAACATTATGAGAGAATTGCTAGTGAGAATTGGTTTTTGAGCAATTGGAAAATTTGGATTTCTTAAAAATCGTGAAGCCTGTGTGGTCCCTTTTTGAATGGTCCAATCTGAGTCCGACAACATTATGCAAATAAGCATTTTTATTGCCCAATTGAAATAATGACCAATGCAAAATAGCAACTAATGAAATGATTACAGTGACAGATGAGATCATAACCACAAGTGAAAAGGTCTTGAGAAGATCAATACCACAGGTCTTTATAAAACATTGAGATGCTTAATATTACTCTTACTATGTAAACCCAATGACAGCCAACAAACTTTTTTCCAGGTGCAAGAAGATCTAGGTTTCATGTACCATTTTGGTGTAGACATCTCTTCCATTGCTGTCCTCTAACTAGAGTTAAAAAATGGTTTTTTGCATGGACTTAGGAATAAAGGCTGTGGTCTAAGAACAGATGATAGGCTTCTACTAATCTTGTACTCTGTAGAATTCCATAACCACTTCATAATTTGGGAGTCTTCTTGTACCCACTCAGAGTAGATTGAACCTCCAAATTCTGGTTTCCTTGTCGACCAAGTGCTAACCTTGTCTTTGGTTGATAGAAAAGCTTAAGTAGATTTTTTTTTGATCAGTAGAAAGCTTAAATAGATTTTACTCGAACAAAATAGTTACATCCTTTCACTTTTACTGATGTGATTTTGGATGGGCTTGAAATCACAAGGCAGCGTGACTGGATACTTTAATTCCATGTCTTCTCTGGACAGTTAATTAAATACTCAGAGTAATAGAAACCAGAACAAGTTATACTTTTTTCATAGCTATCAAGCAATCACAATTGCAAGTCAGATCACTATTCAGCATAGAAAAGACATTCACCAACCTGTTTGGAGGGTGAAACAACAGCTCACATGAACTGAACAATAGCCTTTCACACATCCCTAGGCTTGGATTTTCAACACGACTATTGACTCAGGAGCAGCATACCACATACAACTTATCACTCCCTCTTTGCATATAACAAAATGAGGGAGAAAGCTTAAATACTATCACTTCAGAAAAAAAAGAGTGGTTAGAAGCAATCAAAGATGAATTGCTTCTTAGAGTCTCTTAAAAGAAAAGGAGAAGGCTGGAAACATTAATTGAAGAGAGAAGATGCCCAAATCAATATTATGGTTGCCCTGATACCATGTACAGAACCTGTTACTGGTGCATGTAATAGCCAAAAAGAGTGAAGCTGAAGACAAAAAAGAGAATGGAACTAGATAGAAGAAGGTCTGGTGATTGGAGAGAAATATTCACTTTCCAATACCCCAATCTTCTTAAGAGATGAAAAAGAAAGCCCAGTTTAGCACTCAAGGCCTCAACCTTTGTTTACTAATAAGCAGGACTTCTCAAATTTCCCCATTTAAGTTATAAAAACAATACAGACTATGCATATCCTCTTTTAACTGCACTAGACCCAGGCATGAATAAGAAAGAACAAAGCAGAATACAAAATACAAGTGCTCCTTGAACATTTTATGTAGGGGCAGATTGTGAAGTTCTTTTACATTTGATTGCATTTAATTGTTTCTTCTCTCTCAGAAATGTTTCACCTAATTAACTGGCTTGTAGGGATTGGCTGATGGTGGAGGCCTGAGGGGTGTTCCAGATTATGCAGGAGGAGCCCCTAGAAGAATTGGAGGATTTGGAGGGTGATTATTTTTATTCTTTTCATCCTCTTGTTTTGCAAACTTCATAAGAACTAAATTGTTCTCACTCTATGCCTGTGGTTCTTTTATACTTTGTGTAGTGGAAGCCAACCTGCTGTAATAACGAGTACAACTGTGGAAGTTGTTGTTCCTCGGTCTCTTGTTCCTACGATTTATGGAGAGGATGGAGGCTGTTTGAAGCAAATACGCCAGGTTTCTTATTTCTCATTATAGCTGTGGCCTATCTATATACTATATTATTCATAGTTCCATACTAATCAGCTTTTTTTTTTCCAGATATCCGGTGCAAAAATTACCATCACCGAGCCTAGACCTGGAGATACAGAAACTGTGATTATAATATCTGGAACACCTGAACAGACACATGCTGCACAGAGTCTCCTTCAAGCTTTTGTAATGTGTGGTCCAGATTCTCCTTGATCAGTGAGGTAATATTCATGGGTCTGTCATTTTGTTAGCCTATTTGTTATTGAACACAGTTATCTATTCAGCAAGCAAATTTGTTCTCACTGGTGCTACGAGACACAAGTAAATGCTCCCATTATTTGAAAGCTTCACTTTTGAGATTTAAATGGAAAGAATCTAATAATTGGTACTTCATTTTTGCTGTTTGCAACTTTACCCCTCAGCAGAAGATCGAGAAGATTGAAGAATGCAAAATTATATTTTGCAGTTTTGGGATCATGACAAAACTCAGTGGAACTTTATTAGGGAGTAGGGACAGATTTCCAACTTTGCAGATTCATCAGACCATTCATGGAAAGAATGTTGAATTTTGATTGAAGAGTTGTCTGAGCAACCAAATTGTACTACTGGTTCCATTGAATGCGAAAAATATAAATGCTTTTATGTACATTTGAGCAAAGTTATTTTCAAGTTCCAAGGAGAATTACTTTTATTATGCTGACCGTTTTTTTACGGAAAATTCATATGTGAGACCAAATTTGGAAATTTATCTAACATAGCCATTGCAAACTTTTAAGTAACTAAGTTATAAATAATAGTTATTAGCAGAATCAGGGGAAAGACCAACTGTTCTGCATACTTATTGCTGTTTAAGGGAAATTGGGTTTTTCTAGGGAGAGAAGTAGTTGATTTACACCTAAGTACTTTGTATTACCTCACAACTTTGAAGGTGAGGTGTTGACGATTGCTTCTTCATGTCAAACAATCTGACAGTGTAGCTTTCTATGGGCTCTTGTGCTTCTCCCATTTTCAGTAGGAAAAAAAACGTGGAAAAATGATAATTTCAAAATTGTAGCTTTTCATTTATTTTACTAAACAAGTGAAATTAAAGATGATTTCTTTATCTATATTTGCTACTTTAGTCAGTAGATCTTTTTTTTTTATTGTGGTTTTACATTACAATTTGGGTTTACACTTTTTTTTTTCAAAACATGCTATATTTTTTTAGGGTATAATGAGTTAATATTTTGCAATACTATTTTTGCATCTCATCTTCTAATAAGAATATTCTGGTTGTACACATATTTTTTGCTTTTATTGCTTAGAAAATTTATGCTATTCTTCTTTATCTCATCACTTAATTATAAATAGTTGTGATATTTCTCTCAGCATGTTATGGAGGTAAGTTTTCCTTGGGAAACATTTTGCTCTATTTTATTAGTATCCAGTATCTCACACTTTCTTGATTCTCTTGTATTTTTTCTGCTTTTCTCATCCTTAGGTTATTGTTAGGTGGCAAGGATGTTAAGCAATCAAGTGTCTATGGGTTTCTGGCATATAAACATCTAGAAATTAGTATTACATAAGGGTGCAACCATAATGATATTTTAAAGTGCATAAATGGTAAATCCAAAAATATGGTAAAATAAGAAACCTAAAGGAAAAGTTGAAAAAATCAAATGGTTGCACCCTAATTTTTATTTGTCTTTTCGCAAGATTCATGTTTAACTGTCTTAGATGCCAAATATTTTGTTGACTTCAGCTTGGAGTGTGTTACAATAAAATCGTTATCAGCATGTTACAAAAAAGTATTACAGAAGGTGCCAAGTGTTGGCATAGCTGGGCCCATTATCTCTGGTATCTGGGTACTCAACTGAACTCAACCTTAATTCTAACTATTCGGGGTTGGCTGTCTGGGTAGCACTGAAAAATCTTCGCCTTAAATATCCTTCAAGTAAAGTTCCTCTTACCAAGAAAAGATCATTTAAACATTCTGTAGTTTCCATAGGGCCACAACTGCAATGTCTACTGAATGCTTTTTTTTATCGATATTGTTTATGTTACTTATTATTGTTTTTCCGATCTTGTTACGTCACTCAAAAACTCCCTTTTCAACAACAAAAAAGTAGACCTGGCAAAAAAGGTGATCCAACCCACGAACCTGACCCGACCCAACCCGAAAAGCAGGGAGAGTGTCATATCTAGCCATCCGAATGTGTGACCCGACCCAACCTGAAGCTGGTTTTATTCTTTTCTATTTAGTCTTTACTCTTTGAGATTTTGAATTTCAAATTTTTTATTTTATGTTTGGAATTTTAAAGTTAATTCCTTTAATTTTGGCATTTTCATGTATTTTTGAAAGTCTAGTTATTTTTAGGGCTGACCTGAATTGACCCGTGGGTCAACCCTAACCTGAAGATTTAGGGTTAGGCTCTAGTATTTACTGACCAAAAACCAAAATTCAACCTGATCCAGTGATTTAAAAGGCATGCCTTAGGTGTGCCTAGGCACATTTTAGGCTATGCGCCTTGCCTAGGTCTTAGGCGCAGCCCTTTCAGTTGCGCCTTAGCCCAGGCGTGTGCCTTTTGAAAATTTCAGGCCTGGTGCTTTGTTGCCTGGATGGGCACCTTTTTGCTGAATTCAAGGCATTCAAGCTAGTTCCCTAGGCAGTGCCTCGACAACTTTGCATCTGAGCTTGCAGTAAGAAAATATTAAAAAGAAAACAGTGATATAGTTTACTACCAATAGAAAATAATAAATTAATGATTTAGTTTGCTTCTTAATATGTATTTGGCAGTCAAGAAACATGTCCAGAAAATGAGTGTGATAGTGCGGGTGCTAAGATGGTTGCATGGAAAAACCAGAAAGGATAGGATCAGGAATGAAGTCATCTGTAGGAACCTGGGAGTTGCTCTAATAGGTGATAAAATGAGAGAATGTAGACTAAGATATGGTTTAGTCATGTGCATAGAAAACCATCAGCAGATCCAGTCAGAAGAAGTGATTTGTTACAAGTTGAAGGGTCTAGAAGGGCTAGGGGTAGACCAAAAAGGACTAGGATAAATGTAGTAAGAAATAATTGAAGCACTAATTATTTAACAGTGAATCCGTAGTGGTTCTTCAGAAGTACATTGTCCATGATAGCTTTGTGAAGTAACTCTATGTATCAACATATCCGTTATCATTTTCTGATTATTCTTTTATTCCTCTTTTCTGCAAGTTTAAAGTTCCGGTGGGTTTGTCTTTGTTTAAGTTTTGGAACATAGCCATTATTATTTGCCCAGTGCCTCTTGTACTTGGAATGACTTTTCATGAAGTTCTGATGGCGGCTGCAATATTACTCTGAAGGTGAGTTAACTATTGTACATATTTTTTTAGTTATGATCTCTGTACTTTTCAGTTGTCTACCTTATATTTCTTAAATAAGTCAAACATGGCACCTTTATAACAATGCACTTCAAGGCCTAAGCATGTCCAGGTGGGGGTTTCTTAGCCATTTTGAATATGCTTATTTTTGATAATTTAGCATTTTTGAATATGTTAAATGCATTGGTTTTTATCCTAGGCAACTGCAATATAATGCTTATATATGTATGTTTATTGCACCATATCTTTTTTTCAGACAAGACATTCACATGCTCTTTATCTCAATTGGTTTTGTTAGAACAAGCACTGTTATGCTGTCCCTGCACTTTTCAGTAACCATCTTGTGAGCTTCAGGTGAAAAAACATGCAACATAGGTGCTTTTTCATGCACACACTTGCTTATAGTTTTTCTCACAAGGACTAGACCTTATGATATATAAATATACCGTAGATGGATTTATTCAAAATGATAACCTAGGTGTATCTCCATCTGGAGATGACATGAGAGAACTAAGATGATTTGGGCATGTACAGTGAAGACTGGCTACTATACTAATGAGAAGAAACGATCTGTTACGACTTACAAGTTGAAGGGTCTAGGGGGTCTAGGAGAGGACTAAGAAGGACATGGGTTGATGTTGTGAGAATTGATTTAGGGGTCCATAATTTAACAATGAATATGACACTTAATAGAGCTGATTGGAGGGACAGGATTCATGCAACTGTCCCATATAGTTTGGGCAGGACTTTGTTAAAGGCTAGATCTTTACTCTCCCTTAAATACATATACTCACAAGTGAAAAAAGGAGGTATTCAAAAGGTTTACTACAAACTCGTGGTTCTTTTAATTACCCCACATTATGTTGGCACTTTCACCTAGTGGTTATTTTGAATTTTGGCTGAACTTGCATCATAAATAGGTTGATAGAAGAATACAATGGAGTCTTTTGGCCCCCTTAACAGTGTTACTTTGTTGGGTTTCTGCATTGAATTTCTTGCAATATATTTTTTCTTATAAAAAATCACATGTCAGTGAAATAAAGTTGTTTTGAATCCTTCTATTGGAGAACTGCTAATATGGATTTCCCTGAAGCTTAGACTTTTCATTTGAAACTACTAGATTCCTAATTTAGTTATACCTGCTTCATTCTTTGAGATCCACACCCACACAAAATTTTTGTATTCCTTTATACTTGAAACTATAAAGATTTTATTTTCATAAGACAATATAGAGTGATTTGAACTACAGATGCGAAATTGCCAAGCATCCAAATCATAAAGCATATTTTTTCCTATCTTGTGATCACTTGTACCTCATCTATGTTCACTTTTTCCTATGTTTTTTTTTCATGGTAAAATTTCATCATTTGTGTCATAGGCTTGTATCCATGGCTTAAATCTTAATCCTGGTACACATGTTTCATGTCAGACTCATACCAAAACCCTTTTTTGTGTAGTATATAACTATATAAGAAAATTTCACACTTATCATTGAATTCTTCTGGTCTCCTCTGGGAAAATTTGTTTATATAAAGTCTCCAGCTTTTTTTTGTATAAGAACATTCATATAAAATGAAAGGGTTTGTGCATGCATTCAAGGAAGTTTTCTCCTCCAACCATCTTTTTTTCATTTTGTTCTTTCTGCTTCTCTTCTGTACACCTCCTTTTTGGTCTATTTGACAGATATTAATAAATTCTTGTGATGTACACAAGTTGGTATTACAGCAAGTTTTAAAGATTCTTGGGTAGAACTAATGTAGGTTAGTAGGTCTAGGATCAAGGGATTGCGGGGGCTGTTAAAATTACTAATAGATATCATGTCACTCACCTGATTTTCAGAGGATTTCTCGGTAATTGTTCGCGATGTTTCTGGTACATGAAAGCAATTTAGAGATCATTTGACATCTCATATATTTTTCTTGTGGGTAATTGTAGTTTTGATGAATTCAAAAGATTTTGGAGAGTGCCTCTACTTGTTCTATTCTGGTACAGGATAGGTTTTTATTATATAGAGCCTTCAGCTTTTGATTGTATAATGTCTATTTTGGACTCCTTGTTTGCTAGAGAAGATGGGTTAATTTTAAGCTATTGCTGGATCAACATCTTATTCTGATTTCTTAGTTGTGTTGGAGACAATGTTTTAATAACTGATCCGGAAATGGAACTGCTTTTCCCTCCGGTTCCCTGGTCGGTCATTCAATCGTTTGGGTTGAGTGGGTCAAAAGAGCTTTGTTAAATCTATTAAGTCCTAACCTTTAGATTTGCATATTAGGTTAGGATTGAATATGTGCGTTAGAGATTGTGAGAAGTGGTTGAGATGTGTGCTGTTAGAGTTGAGACTGTGAGCAGTGGTTGAAACAGCACCATTAACAATGGTTGAACAATTGCAACCAGGAGACTCCATTTTG